ATATATATATATATATAATATATGCTATATTGCTAATACGATCATAAATTCAAAGGGTTAAGGTGACGCAGACCTCAAATATTTTTTAATCAAGTCAAAAATTGATTTGAATTTAAAAGGTCTTCACAATTATTATCAGATTGTTTGGAATTAGAACTCTTTTATCACTGTAATTTCTCAAATTTAATTTATATCCCAAATATATATTTCTCCTAAAAACGCGACTGAAAGAATCCCTATAAGCTAATTTAATTTTCAGGTGCTTACCGTTTTAAAAGTAAACACGGGTTGTATTGTTTGAGAGATGAGACCGAAAGCCGCAAGAAACAAAGATAACTGCAAACAGCTCGTGTAAGAATAAAGTGCTGAGTTTGATAGGTTGAAAAAAATCACTTCAGTTGTGTGCGACGAGATTTTAAACTGTAGTTGATAGTATCTTGGTCTGAGATGTATCAACGCGACTTTCCGTTTCGCTCACAATGCTCAATGAAAAACACTGTGGCTCCTTCTTTTAGTATCAAGGTTTGCTCCTCTTGAATTTGATATCTGTTGCGCCTGATTTGAGGTGGCGACGAAAAAAAAAAAGGAAAAGGAATGCAAGCTAATTTTTTGTTTATTTTTGCTGCTTACCTTTGAACAAGGAAGTGTGTCTTGTTCAGTATTTTGATTGTATGACAAAGGAAGCCCAAAGTAAGAAACTAAAATGACCCGTTCCCTGCAAAACAGAAATGAATGACAATGACTTTTTGTGAAAAAATTAACAGCATAATCGGTAGATCCAAAACAAAATCGTTCAGAAAACCTAAAACACAACTACGTCGCTTTCCAACTTCCCCGTAATTGCATTAAAAACATTGCATCTTTGTTCTTTCTACGTAAGAATTTCCCATTCATTCATCGTGTGGCTGCTTTTTCTCTTTCAGTCCCAGACTCGGACATTTAAGAATTGTTGAACACGTAGTTTCTCCCTACAGTATCGATATATTCTTCAGCCAACAGTTTTGGAGAATAAACAAACTTATCAGCTGAACAGCGTTAAATTAACGCAACACTTCATTCTCTAAAAATATTTACAGTGACATTTGTTTCATTTAGAAAGGGGACTTGATCATTAGCTTTTAGATCATGGAAGTTAAGGGCCTTAAGATGAGTGAATCATTTTATTTTAAGGACTATGATGAGATCAAGGCAAATTTATAGCGACAAAGCGAGAAAAGATTGTGTCTAAATTATTTTTTTAAAACTAACCTTTGAAAAAATAAGCCTGGCTGGTTTAATATTCCAGTAGTATGACTAATAAAACCAACAGTAAGAAACTGAAAAAGAACTTTCTCTGAAAAACAAAGATAAATGCAAAAAACTATTGTAAGAAAGACGTAAACACTTAATAGGTGGAAAAAAGTGATAAATCAAAGAGGGAACAACGGACACCAAAAGTAAAGATTAAGTTCGATTTGTAAAACGCAAGTTTAGAAACCTGAAAATCAATCGCTCTCCATCTTTCACATAAATTATGCGCACAAAACAAATTATCAAAAAAAAAATAGAATTGCCTGCCTTGAATTAATTTGAAATGTAGCAATACTGTGCAATTTGAATATACTCTATGTTACCACCGACATTGACTGAAAAACCTTACGTTACTTAGGACGGCCAAGGAAACATCATGGCTACAAACGGAGATTTTATGATAAGAAGAATCTCTGCCCATGTGATGAACATTTTCACCACAAAAATTTCAATTTCGGATGGCTCTTTCTTCCCAATTTTTTACATTGCAAACACCAACAATGGTTTCCGTCTTTCTTAATCCGAACATTTGTTTTGCCGAAATAATTGACCCCGCGCTTGACGCAATGCGAACATTTAACATTTGTAAACTTTTCAAGACGTTTTCTTGTGCACAGATTAGGCATGCTTAGTGGATTAGATTTACACTGGCGTTTTTATTGTTCTCCAAGCGCTGGATAGTTCTGAATGATACGAATCTAACTCAGCAGGTCAGAAGTAATAGACTTTTTCTTCTTATGATATGAAAAAACTTTAAACATAAATGGAATTTATTCAGACCGATGTCCTTCTAAAGCAATTCATGATGAGTCAGTACATGAATCGACACAGTAATGGTCCATGTAAGAGCAGCCTAAAATACGTATCGTAAAATCTATGAGATGTCGCATTGGCACACCAACGAGTTAAAAATGAAATATCGTACTCACCACGACTCTTTGAACCCCTTGTTGCTTTTAAATTAAAGGAAGTGTGTCTTGTTCAGTATTTTGATTGAGTGACAGAGGAAGCCGAGAGTAATAAACTAAAATGACACTTTCCCTGCAAAACAGAAATGAATGACGATGACTTTTTGCAAAAAAAGTAACAGCGTAATCGGTCGAACAAAAACCAAATAGTTCGGAAAACCTAAAACACCACTACGTCGCTTTCCAACTTTCCCGTAATTGCATTAAAAACATTGCATCTTTGTTTTTTTTACAGAAAAAATTTCCCATTCATGCATCGTGTGGCTGCTTTTACTCTTTCAGTCCCGACCTAGACACTTCATAGCTGTTTAATGTGCAATTTCTCCCTACAGAATCAATATATTATTCAGCCAACAGTTTTGGAGAATAAATAAACTTGTCAGCTGGACGGTGTTAAACTGACGCAACACTTCATTCTCTAAAAATACTTACAGCGACATTTGTAACATTTAGAAAGGAGACTTGAATTGAAATGAGATTATGGAAATTAAGGGCCACGAGATGAGTGGATCGTTTTAGTTTGAAGACTATGATAAGGTCAAGGCAAATCTTTTAGCAACAAAGCGGGAAACGATTGTTTCTAAATTTATTTTTTTAAAACTAACCTCTGAAAAAAGAAGCCGGTCTTGTTTAATATTCCAGTCGTATGACTAATAAAACCAACAGTAAGAAACTGAAATAGAACTCGGCTTTCTCTGAAAAACAAAGACGAAGGCAAATAGCTATGGTAAGAGAGACATAAACACTTAATAGGTGAAAAACAGAATGATAAACCAAAGAGGGAACAACGGACACCAAAAGCAAAGTTTAAGTTCGATTTGTAAACAGCAAGTTTAGGAACCTTAAAATCAATCGCTCTCCATCATCCCCATAAATTAAGTGCACAAATTAAATTCATCAAATAAAAATAGATTTGCTCGCCTTAAATTAATTTGAAATATAGCAAAACTGCGCGATTTGAATATACTCTGCGTTACTACCAACACTAAAAAACCTTAAGCTACTAAGGACGAAGTACGAAATTAAAATACGAATAAATAGGCGGGCTCTTCTAACCTGAGATATTTAGAAAAGAGCAAGGAGGGGAGGGAGTGTAACGTGTTGTCATCATTCACTAAAATTAATGCAAAATTACTTTTATCAATTATGAATACTTCCTTCACCACTTTTTCAGCGTTATCATATAGACTAACTTTATTAGACCAACATAATTGTCACCATTTTTAAGTTCATATTTATAGTGATAGAAAGTCCCTGTATGATGTCCAAATCAACTATTGCTTGGCCTTTGGCTCAGTTCCTAACGTTTTCGTTGCTTTCAAGAAGAGAATGTGAGGGCGCTCATGATGGCTTTGTCATGCCTGTGTCTGCGTTAATTCCCAGTCTCCACCTCTTCGTAAAGCCGCTCGATTTGGTTTTTGAAAGTCATGAGTATTGCTGAACGCTTGGCCTTGAAGGTTGGCGTGAGAAGTCCGCCGGTTTTCAATGCTAAACATCTCAGGATGAAGATGGATTTTCTTGACCTTTCAAACAAAGGATATTATTGTGATATATAAGGATGCCTTCCGTTTTTATTTTTAACAAATATGAATTTTTTTTCTTCCATGCTCAGGAAATTTAGAGATTTCTCATTTGGTACAATGAAGTTTGTTGGTTGCCATGGAGACTCCTTGTGACCCGGTGATTATCACGTAAAGGAAAAGTTAAAGAAAAAGTTACCTTTAGTTAAGCTGTGCTTAATAGCATTAAGTTTCCAAAGATTCCAACGAATATATCGTTAAATGGGGAGAGAAAAAACCCTTCCAACTTACATGAAATAAACTCAGGCACAGATGTTTTGTGGTCTATTGTCCCAAGTTTCTGAATAATTATAAAAAAAAATAACCTGGATCGTTGCTACACATGCAGCCGTGTTTGGGCTCGTCACGCAGCGCGCTCCTTTCCTCCATTGGATGAAGAGAGCGAAAAAAGTTTGCGAAGATTTTTCTAGCCTGCGATCAGGCCCTCATTATCAGCATTTGGTCACGAGCGTTTTCTTCGCCCGCGCGAACATACGAAGCCTTTAGGAACACGAGCCAGCGAAAGGTTTGTCCGGGGTCTGGTACTGGTAATTAGTGCCAGATCCTTGACAAACCTCTCCTCGACATGACAACGCATTCTCTACATTGGCGCACCAGGGGTAGGACGAAAAGGAACTAACATGGCACGAAAACAGGGAGACAAAATGGAAGGCAAATCGGAAACTAATTAAGGCAAAACAGTTAAAAACAAAATCAAAAGAGAAAAGAGACGCAAACAGAATGCAAAAAGCAACAACTAAATCATATCATTTTTTTTCATTATATTACGTCATTTATAATTTTACATACTGAAAAAGCAACAACAGTCAGTGAAACAAAATCACTGATCAACCTAAATAGAATACTTAACCCTTTAACTACCAGATCAAATTTGTAATTCTCCTTACTGTCAACCATACAATTCTTATGATGTTAGGCAGAGAATTTAGTATTGGATCAACTAATTAACCCTAATTGATAGTTTTTTTTATTCTCATTACTTATTTGGTTGATATTGCATCGATGTGGTAAGGAGAAATTCTGTCTTGGTCACTCATGAGAGTTAAAGGGTTAAAGAATGCCTACTTTTAAAAATATCTATTGTAGCACCTTTCGATTGAGTGACGTAAGTAATCAAAGCAGCCAATCAAAACAGAGCTTCGCGTCAAAATACACGCGAATAGAATTAAGCGCAGGAAAACGTGAGCGACCAAAATACGAATGATTTTAATTCTGCATTGTTTGATTGGTTGCCAAGGTGTCGGGAATATTTTCTAGGCTAGTCACTGAGCGAGGTGAAGGAAGAACGTAAATATTTAGGAAAACATGCGACACTCGTTTGAAAATTGCTCTTGCGATCGAGTTCTCAATCGATCACAACTCTAATTACTTTACAGTTAGTGACCATAGTGTATAAAAGATGATGACTTGTCTTATATATAAAAAAATTCCCCTTTTTTAGCTATAATACTTCAAGAGACATGAAATCTTGACCACCATTATAAATTAACAAAGAAGTGTTTCGTTATTACTAAACTCATTTATGCTGAAAATCACACCAAAATATCGCGTTATTTCCCGATGTTCACCCTAGGTTTAAGAACATCCACAACAAGTACAAAACGAGGTCTTTCGCCAACAGTCAATTTTAAGAAATCCCATGAACAATTTCCCCTTTTGCATAGTTTCATTCAAAAACTGTCCAATATTCCACACTCTACTGGTTTAAATTTCGCGATTAGAGAAAGAGGATAACAAACAAAAAAAAGATAAAAACAAAACGAAACATTTTGTCGACAAGGTGACACTGACATAACCAATCAGAAAAAGCACGCTGTTGTTTGCTCCTCGATTGGATGGAAAAAGAAACTCGATCGTTGATTGGTTTCCTATCATCTTCTCGCAGCACAAGTTGCCAAGTTTACGCGTAAATTTGATTGGTCCATGACGTCTTATTCGAAAATTCTGAAACGTGCGCTTCGCTGATTGGCTAGCTATTACTTAGTGTAACTCAGAAAACAGTAAGTAAACGGCACAAAAAGATTTTAAAATATATAAATATTTTTCCAACTCCTATTCTATCTTACAGACGCAGTGCGACCATGTGTGTGCGAGTTTTGCCTGAAATGGGCTGATTCCCACGTTTTGAAAAACGTTAGAGAAGTCATCAACGGGCTGATGAGGACCTCCGCTCAGGTTGTCGAAACATTAGTCACCAGTCCTCTTCAGGGCAACTCTCGCACGGACGATCATACTACACGACTGACTTGAACAACGGAGTTAGAAACATTAACTGTAACTTTGTTTTCTACCTAAGCAAATACCTTTCTGTGTAATTGTTTTTTTGAATAAATCAAATTCAACAATATTTATTTTGTATTTAAAAAAGTGTGTAAAGGGAATCGTTCGTATAAGATAATATGGAATTGGATAAAATGAAAGTTATCTTTTAACATTACATTGTATTTACTCCGGTACTGTAGCGTAGAGGTCTTCGAATGTTTGTAGAAAATGTTTTTTCAGGGCTGGCCGCTTGAATTTCAGTGTTGGCGTCAGAAGACCATTTTCGGTCGTGAAAATCTCCGGTGTCAGGAAAATTGCTTTGACCTGAAACAAATAAACATTATTGAAGGGCTGCTCGAACCTTAGAGGTACTAGTGCTTAACATTGCATATTCTCCCTACTGTTCTCTATACGTTTCTTAAGGTGCTGACAAGAAGAATTTATTAAACAATCGAGAGCTTCTCTAGTTGGGGATCATTTCCTTTATTCCCATGACCCTAGACTCTTAGGGTTTAAGGGTTAAGAGTTTATATGGCAATTGAGCCCAGTGGCTCGTCTGGGGCCCGTTTCTGGACGGTCCCGGTAGCTCAACGGGCCCGTACAGCTATTCTGTTTTCACTCTAGATGGGGTTTTAAAAAAGGTTTGAAAATTACGCAATAAAACTATCACCTAGAGAAACAAGACGGACTGGTTAGGGTGAAAGAACCAGCTTCTCTATTCTTCAAAATTTGGTTTTTGAAATAAGGCTTCGGGCATGTTAGTCACCGGGACTTTCGAGAAACGGACTGCTGGACGGAGCTCATCCCGGTTTCTTCAGCATGAAATGACTAGGAGTAATGCTACTCCCTACGGATAAATGCTAGTCCATCCCAGGTTACGCCCCCCTTAATTTAAACGATTTGAACCATCACTAAGGACAAAAGATCTTAAGCAAACGCCAA